CGAGTCAGGGGCTGTAGGTTTCTTCACAAATTAATTAGTAGAGGGTACAGTCGAGCGATGTATTCCCAATGTAACAGAAATTGAGCAGTCTCAGATTTGCACATTAGATTTGGTGCAGTTCATTCAGGCCACTTCAGCTGTAATCTACCCATTTAAAATGAACAGCAGCATGGTTGCAGAGTGTGGTCAACTGTCCTTTTATGTATGTCTATGTGTACTGTGTGCAGGACATATTGTACCACATCAAAGGAGACATTTGGTATTCTGCCAGCCAAAAATAAAGTTTGTTTTTTAAGAAAAAAAAGAACAAAATTTCAGCTAGATGAACCATAATGATTTGTCCTGGTCCTGTACATTCTATATTCCTATGTGAATGTTTTATTTGTATTTTAACACCAATGATTTAGCAAGTGAAAAAGGCATTTTATCTCAGGTTTATGTAATCGGTGGGAAGATATATCTAACTTTTCTAAAAAAAATCTAATGGTGATCAGACATCTGTCTTCCCCATCCAACTCCCCTGAATACCCCTACTCCAGTCATATCCAACAAGCTGTGATCCAGCAAAGTCGGCAGCAACTCCTTCCACCAAACCAATCCTGGAGTTCAAACTTGTGACATTTTGATTGGGATTTGTGGGGGATATAAGATCTTGCGTTGCTGGGGTACCTTGTGACCTTTAAATAATTTTGCTATTCTGGTTGTGAGGTATTACACTTCATAGGTATATAATTTCTGCTGAATACTATTTGAGTAAAGTAGACCAAATGGACGGCTTCCCTGTGAAGTGAGCAGTAGCCTTTGTGCTGTGATTGATATTTTACTTGATACATTATTTATGATCACCATTTTATACAATGCAATTTAGATATCAAAGTGATGAAAATATGCTGACTGGCAGGTTATCCTATTACATTTTCCACAGAGGGTTGTCTTGAGCATCAGTTGATGCCATAAAGCTATATGTATATGATGTGAAGACAAGCCATTACAACACAGCTTTGCAACTTGTAAATGAGCTTGTAAAATGGCTCATCAACTCATACATACTTTTATAAAAGAAATTGTAAATTTGATCATCTTAGTACATTCATGAAAGCAGACAGATGTTGATCAAACAATGTATATTATACAAGTGCTTGCAATCAGCAACAGCTCCAATCAAATAAAAAATGTTACAACTGTGTATTCAACAAGCTTTGCAGAATAAAGATGTAAAGCAAAATTAATTTTCACCTGTTACATTGTGATTAACCAATGCATCCAGCAGCAGGATTGTTGGGCATTTCTCTGCAGTATTGTATAGAATAGACAAATATTGTTTTGTAAAAATCTCTGAAAAAGAGTGAAAAGGAGGGTGGGATAGGCGAACATCACATGAGGTGGTGCGGAGGCTAGAGGAGAAGCCGTTTGTGGAGATGAAGTGGAGACGGTGTGAGAAGTAAGATCTGAACTATTCAAGGACAAAACAATGAAGGTTGTGGTGAGATGAGAGGTGGTGGAGGAGGATAGAGTGGTCAACAGTATCGAAGGCAGCAGAAAGATCAAGGAGGACCAGGGGGTAGAGGGAGCCCTGGTCACAAATGGACAAAATGTCATTTTGTGACAATTCGTGCTGTGGTGGCACAGAAATCTGATTGGAGGGGTTCGTGAAGGGAGTGGTGGGAGTGGAAGGAGCGAAGCTGGGAAGCAATGACTCATTCTAGGACCTTGGAAAGGCAAGGGAGTTTGGAGATTGGGTGGTAGTTTGAGAGCAGGGATGGGTCCAGGGAAGATTTTCTTATGGGTAGGAATGATGACGGCCATTTTTAGAGAGGTGGGAACAATGCCAGTGGAGAGGGAGAGGTTTATGATGTCTGTGAGTAAGTGGGTAAGGAGGTGGAGCTGGGAGGTAAACAGAGGGGTAGGGATGAGCTCAAGGTAGCAGGTGGTCGGTTTCATGTGGTTTATGGTGGTGATGAGAGAGGAGAGGGAGACAGGTTCGAAGGTGTGGAGGGAGGGATGGGTAGGGACCGTGGTGTGAGGGGGAGATGGGGAGGGTTTGGTAGTCGGAAGGGCAGAGGCAGCTGAGCTTCTGGCTTTGGTTTCAAAGAAATTCAGCATCTCCTCACAGTTGGCATTGGAGGAGAGGATGGGTGAGGGGTAAGAGGGTAGGCAAAGGACCTAGTTGGTGATGGAGCAGAGCAGCCTGGGGTTGTCCTTGGCTTCCAAGATTGTCTTGGACGATTTAGCGGAGGCGAGGATGGAACAGTAAGATTTGATAAGGTCCAGACAGATCTGCTGATGGATTGTCAAGTTGGATTTGAGACAGTTATGTTAAGCGGCACATGAAAACTTTTTGAATTTTTCGTCATTTCTCTTGGTAGAGAAAATAAATTGATGGAAAGGGAAGAGATAGGAGATAAGAGATATCTCTGTATCTCTCTGAGTCTTTGAGATTATTTTTGTTTTCTATTGCACTTCCAGATCCATTGCTTGTAAGATTGATGTATAATGGTAATGAAAAGCACAGTCTCATGTTATTATAAATTGATAGATACACACTGTTTAATGATATATCAAAATGATATCATGAGTTGAGATTAAGAATAACAGGTTGTTTCAGGTACTTTCAACAACATACAGTCACACGTAAATTGCTTCTTTTTGTAGAAGTGTTATTTTGTAAAATTTTAATTGAAAAGATTGTTATACTGATTGAGAAAATAACTAGAGCAAAGAATTGTCACTATGTTGAACTTTTGAATACGCATACAAATATTAAAATCAGCTATTCCTGACCACCCACATTTAGAATTTTCATCTGTCTAATGCAGTTTCCCTTATTTGATTTGCTGCACAGATGTTTCCTTCAGTCTATTAGCGCTAAACTTCTTTCCACTGTGACTCATTTCTGTTTCTCCTTTAATTTTCTCCCCTCCTCCCCTGAAGATGTGGGCTAATGCAGGTGGACAGTTACAGGAGTGCCCGAATACCCTCATATATTTTATCTAAGTGGCCATGTGAGCAGACAGCGAATATTAGTGAACTATTTAATCAATGGATTATTGCTGCCAATCCCATCCTGCCCTCACTGGACACCATCACCATTACTGAGGCAAATTGTAACACTCCTCATTCCCTGGCTGAGATCTGCCAATTCAGTAAAGGCTGGGGATTGGATCTGCAGCTCTCCTAGTCTGAACGGAATGATTGTTATTCTTCTAAAGAAAGTAAACCTTGTGATGAGTTTGCCTTTATTTCCACATCCAGAATGTAAACCAGAGAAAAAAAAACTATTCAACCTATTCTATAAATAGCATTTCAGGTCTAGAATGTCTGACATCATTTGGTGCATGGAAGTACAGTGATAAATTGTGTGCCTGCTCAAAATGTTCAAACTATGTTATAAAAAGTGCCCATTTTCCTCAAATGCAATGATCAACCAAGCAATTAATTATGGTGGCAGCTCTTTACTTATTTGAGGGTATGAGACTGTCACCCCTAAAAAAAACAAAATTCATGAGGTCCTTTATAATAATAATCCTTGCATTTGATATAGTGCCTTTTCCCATCAGGAAGTAGTCCCAAAGAGCTTCACAAGATATATTATGAAATGGAGTGACTGGTATATTTTGTAGAGCCAATTTTCACACAATAATGTCCTATAAACAGCCATGAAGTGAACAACCAAATATTATTATTTTGAAGGATTGTTGGTTAGGAGAAACTCCCTTCTCTTCTGGAATAGTGTCATTGGATTGTTAATGTCCACCTGGACAGGCAAACAGGAACTCTGTTTAATGTCTCATCCAAAGGATGGCACCTCAAACAATGCAGGAAAGCTCCAGCATTGCACTGGAGTGTCTGCCTAATATGATGTCTGAGTTTCAATGTAAAGTTTAAAACCACAATCTTCTGACTCAAAGGCGAGAGTGTTACCAACTGAGCCACCCTGACCTACTATCTTTATGCCTTTTAAGGAATTGCCAGCAATTTTCGGGTTGTTTCAGTTCTGATTTCTATACCTGAAAACACAAGGCAAAATAAATATATTTATTGAGAGTTTATATGAGAGTTTAATGGTCAGTGCAACTATTGTTAATGTGCATTTTATATGATGCACAACTTCTGCCATTTCATATGCAATTATTTTTCACTAATGAGTTGACAGTTGAGTATTCCAAAAATGCTCCAGTAGATATAGGATAACAACAACAGCAACAACAACAAAATAACACGTGTATAGCACCTTTCGCGACGGGAGGACATGCCAAGGTGCTGGACAGTCAGTGTTTCGGACCATAAATTCCATGCCAACACTTGGGAGACAACCAAATCATCACAGTGAAGTCAAAACCAGCCAGCCATCAATGATACAAAATACAAAGATTTCTATAAACCAAGATTAATGTTGAGACTGACTATGAATTTATTGCACATTAGATCCCTCCTGGGGAGTGGTATAGTACAGCTTTATGGACGAATGCAACTCAATTTTATAGGGAGTCTATGAACCCAGGCAAGAAGGAAATATAATATGTTTCATCTTACAAAATAACTGAATGCATTACAACTGTAAATTATCAATGTCATTTCTGGGATTAAAGCAGGCTGCACTGGAAAGATAGAGGCGTGTTACCACAAAGGTTATGTGAGGTTTTTGGAAACAAAAAAAAACTGTACCCAGCTTTCGAAATACCACTTATATCACTTATATCAGACATTTAGTGCTTCACCACAGCCTTAAAAGGATACTGCATTACAGGGCGTTCAGATTGAAACCTGTTTATACAATTGATTCAAAGCATATGATGAAAAGACGGATGCTTTCAGCCACAGGAACAGATGGTTGAGGATCATGTGACACAGACATCCCATCTATTCCTTTTGGGTGTTTTTTCACAGCCTCAGTATTGACAGAGAAAAGCGATTGACATTTAACGTGTGTCCGGGGCTGCAACAAAATCACTCGCCTTCTTTCACACAGAGC